AATCTGCATGCAATGGTTGTAGAATTATCAACAATCTAAAAGTTGTTTATGTAGCACTAAGCCTAACGAGGCCGCCATTTGTTTACATTTGAAACTCTCAGTAGAATAGTGAATTAAGTCGGTTTCTGCACCAACTTCAGTGCCTTTTTGCCGAGTAAGTAAGTTTTCAAACATAAAAATATACCGTGACCAAAAGTAAAATTTAAGTTTTCTTCACCGAAATACCTGTCCTCCTGTCCGCTGGCCGAATTGCTTGTTTTTGCGTAGAATCTCCAAGTTTAATTCTAAAAATTGCATTGTTTTTTTAACGAGCAGTAAATGTTACAGTAATGTTACTACTGTATTTACATTACTGTATTTGGTGTTTTATGTTTTACGTATTTTATAATTTTTAATGAAGATGCTTTGAATTTTTATGTATTCTTGTCTTACCATGAAGAGAAAACTGAATTAATTCAATGAGAAATATTTTTCTAATGAAATTCGAGGAAAAAAGTTTAAATGAAATGCAACAGAAATGCACGTCTATAATTTAATAAGCCGTACAAGAAAGTCATGTGATGTTCACATCAGATTTTTTTTAAAGCAACAGAAAATACCTTTAAAATAAAAAAAAAAAAAAAAATCCAGAGGTTTTCATGAAACACTGAGATCAAATTGAATACAATTTCTTTGCATAAATTGCTCTGATATATATGTCCTTCCTTGCTGGTTGGTTCCATGTTTAGTTACTTAGCTACAATGCAAATAGTTAGTTAGCAATGCTATCTGTCAGTTTTATTTCCTTTTTTACACTCCTGAGGGATAAATAAACGTTATGCAGAAAAGTAATCTTTACGAAAATTTTTCTCGTTTATTTTCCAGCTAACAAAATCTTTTTCAATTTGGATCTGAAGGTAAAGCCTTGCGATGACTTTTACCGTTTCGCTTGTGGCGGCTGGATAAAGCGACATGCCAAAAAGAGGAAATCAAATATTTCTGTCCTTATCAAAATGCAACGTGACATTGATCTCAAGCTGAAATGTAAGTTAATTTCTTTAAAAAATCACTAAAAAAATTTTTTTTTAATTCATTTTTTTAGATCTTTTTTTTTAAATCTTTTTAGATGTTTTTTTAGATCTTTTTTTTAAATCTTTCATCTCTAAAAAAATTAATTTTCAGATAAAGTGAATTTTTTCACATTTTCCCATTTCAGCAAAGAATTCTGTTTAGAGATTAATCATTTTAACTGTAAAATGAAGAACTGTGTAAGAAATAGATAAAAAGGATGCCCGATTTTTTTACGAGCAATTTAATTAGCAACTTGAAAATGGACTTGTATGTTCCGTATGTTCAAAAACGATTGCACGATTAAATATCTATTTAACAAGTCATCATAGCTAATCAAATGACATTTTAAACTTCAAATTGCTACAGACCCTATAAAAAATAACTACAGTTAAAAAAAATTTCTTCCTTAAACTGTTAGCTATATTTCTGAAGAAAACATTATGGTCAAAATTGAATTCTAAAAACTGAAATTTATGATTTAAGCTACTTGTAAGAAATAAAACAACGTCAGATATTTTAATTAAGAGTACGCATAAAATCTAAACTTCCGTTAGGAGTTCAGAAGTAGTTTATACCTCCCCCCCCCGGGCCCACCAGCGGCCGAGCGGTAAAGTCGCTGAACACTGGTAGTTCGGTCCGAGGTTCGAATCCCGCGAACGGGCTGGCTGCAAGGGCGTTTTCGGGTTTTCCCCAGTGTAATGTAATGAGCCAGTTTCCCTTAGAAGTCCTCACGAAGGATCCCCCCCTTAGGCAGAAGCCCTAGTGTGCTTTGCCATAATTGAATACACCACACCACCTCCCCCCCCTCCCGAAGCAAGCCGAATCCTACGACTTTTTAGATCCTGGAATTCTCTCTGCAGTAACTAAAACCAAGAGAGGCTGCTTATCATTTGACAATTTCAAGTAATATATAAGCTCCTTAGAGCGAGTAATAGGAGTTAATAAATAATCAATTAACTAAAGCGTTATGTAAGAATTCTTTTTGAAAATTAACTTATATAGTCTATGATGCTTACGGAATATAAACCTTTAAAAGGACTTTTGAAGAATTATCTTCTAGCCTTGTGAAACTAAACAGAGATCAGAAGAAAGGTGTATAATACACTTCCTTCATTTAATCATAATTAATTAACATCTTTTTCTTTATTTAACCATAATATTAACAAATATCCCAAATTGCGTTACAAGAAGCCAACACCTGTGGCTGAAGAGAAATACGTAACAAATAACAATTTCAAGGTGCGTAGATTAGCCTAAAAGCTCACAGAATACTTTAACGCTCAGGAAGAACTCTGGTCTAAAGTAACCGGCGAGACAAACCTAAGACAAGAACACATCAAAGCCGCTAACGCAAGTCGCGAATAATCACACTACAAAGTGGCAGACATAGAATAGGTCTAGCCTAGAATAGGCAGACACCCTCTAAAAATAACTTTCGAAACTCTTGCTTAAATAGCACTTCATCCCACCTTTAATTTGAAAAAGCTCTCTTTATCTCATTTATATTCTGGCATGAAAAGCGTCTGTGAAAAGAGAGTGATAAGAAAGGCTTTTCAACTTAAAATAAACTACTAGTTAAAAAGTAGATCGATAAACCTTACAACCTGGTTAGAAAATTAGAAAGAAATAATAATGCAGCCATAAAAAGTATTTCGGGATAACTGAATCTGAATTACAGAATTTTGATGACCAAATCAGAATGAAGATACAATTAACTTTCAGTGAGAAATATTCTCGAAATTTTTAAGGATGTACTGCATAAACATTAAGAAAAGTTATAGTCGATTTAAATTTAAAATATTCGTAGAATATCCAACAAAATGTAATATAAACAGAGACTATTCTATGTCATAGAATTCCTGTAACTCTTATTTTATTCCGCTCAATTACTACGAACTGTTTTAGTACTTACTGTTTAGTTTTTTAGTGTTTTATCGGAAGTGAAACAAACTAAGAAAGAGAAGATCATCTTTCTTTCGAATTTTCATTGATTTTTTCTCATAAATTGTATGCACACTTTAGCATTGTTTAGATAGGCGGCACTTTGCAAATCTCAGATTGAGACAACCTAATCGAGAAATAGATGCAATTAAACTGAAGGGAAAAAAATATTACTTCGAGATTAACTATAAAAAAAGAAGCAGCCCAAATGAGATTTAATTTGCTTAAATATTATTATTTTTGTTATCTTTTGTTTTGCTTCCAGATCTCTTAGAAGAGAAATTGACTGGAAAAGAACCCTCTTTCATTAGCATGGTAAATGAACTTTATGATTCCTGCATGGATGAAGGTACGTTTTGTTTCAAATTATCCTTTCATAATTTCAATTATGTAAAAATATGATCGAAATAATTAAAGCCTCAGTCAGACATTTATAACTTAAATCACTTTTATATACATCACAAAATCTCCATTGTATACCGTGATTATGCAATATCTTGCTTGGCCATTGTAAAGTGCTGCAAACAATTTGAAACTGGTCGCCCAGATTTCTGACAACATGATCCACTGTAATGATTTCAAATAATCAGCGCATGAAAATCCCAGAAACTACCAGTACGTGAGATTTTTATTATTATTTTATTTATTACGTGCTTTGCCATTTGGCAATACACGAAAAGGGAAGGATACCACATAAAAGACTTTTAAAGGGAAACATGCTTGTATCCACGTTACAGATGGAGAAACATTTTAGATTTTTCCCATGGAAATGTATGTTCCATCATTCATGGCCGTCTGATGTGAAAGACATGTGTTATGATTCCTGATAGATGAGCACAGGAATCTCTGGACTTCTTGTAGAGATATGCAGCAAATAATTATAAGTGTTTGATTCAGACAGAAGACAATTTAGGACAGATATAACTGCAATAGGGGACATTTAACAATTAAGTTTGAGTTAGTGGTATTTAACTGCTCTCTGAAAGCAACAGTCGTTTGTACACTGACTACCAATAAGTATTTGGACACCTGTGATAGAAAACGAAAACTAACTTTATTCAAAATCAATAGTTGGTAGAGCCTCCACGAAAGGTAATTACAGCGTGGACCCTCCGAGGCATATTTTCCACAAGTCTTTGTATGGCAGTTAGTGGTATTTTTTCCACTCGGCTGGAAAAAAATAGAATTCCTTTCACCGATTTTGCAGGGTAGTGACCCCTGAATTCGGCCCAGAGGTTCTCGATAGGTTTAAGGTCTGGATTCTGGGCAGGCCAATCCATTCGATGAACTCCAATGGCCCATATCAAGCCTTGGTTAACGTCGAAACAGACAACTGGCATGTCGTCCTGAAAGTAACGGGGTCCAACCGTAAAACTGCCCACAACGTAGAAGCACATTGTCATCCAAAATAGTGCAGTCGGCATCGGAGTTGAGCTTACCATGAAGGGGACCAAGGGTCCCAGCCCATACAGGAGAAAAAACCCCCAGACCATAATCCACCTCCGCCGAACTGCTGTTGGCACAATGCATTCTGGCAGGATACTTCTCCAGTAGACGCCAGACCAGACCCTGCACCCGAACGGTAAAGGGTGACCTTGATTGTCACTCCAAAGAACCGTTTCCACTGATCTACGGCCAATTTCGATGTGCTTTGCACCACATTAAACCGGGCAGCGCGGTTGGACTTTCAAGATCAAGGCTTATGGGCAGCAGCACGACCATGAAACCAAGCAGATGTGCTTCCTTACGGATGGTATACATTGAAACAAACTCCGGATGCTGTTGAAACTCCTCGGGGATGAGGCATCGGTTGGGTGCGGTTCTTCCGAATTTCTCTGGACAGCACTGTCGGTCTCTATCTCCCAGCTCGTTGGTCTGCCGACTCGGGGCACATTCCGGCCAATCACCGCTCACCTTCCACTTCATAATAACAAGGCCACTGTCGATTTTGGGTACTTCAGAGTCGCTAGATATGTCCCTTAAGGATTGGCCACATTGTGATACCCGATAATTAACCTTTCTCGAATCAGAGAGCTCCGAACTGCGAGGCATCTTGCATGCGACTAAAGCCGATGCTGTTTCCTACACGATATATACCGGCGGAGACCGTGACGTACCTTAGGACCGCAGATATCGTCATTTGCATAGGTGTGCAAATACTTATTGGTAGTCAGTGTATATTGATAGTCAATATCCTCCTACAGAGCGTTTGGAACACGTTCTAGTCTTCGCCAGAATGCCGCGCAAAACCCAGAGATAACATTTTGCATGATTTTAAAATTCATTATAGCTTCATCAACTGTGAGGCATTCTTTCATTTTCCTGTATTTCTTTTGGCCGAAAACACCATCGACATCAAAAACTTTGGAGAAAGATCCCAGGTGTCTTCACGCACGCAATTTCTAAAAGAGGCATTTTATTGGCTGGGCTAATATCCTACTTTCAAGTAAGCTTCTGCTCCAACTAGAAATGTACATATTTATTGGATCTCTGTTGAAAATAGTTAAAGCGAATAAATAGCAACAAATTATGTGATTTGATACTGCGGTGATAATTTTCCATACTGTTATTTTGCCTTAAGTCATTCATTGAAATAATGCATAAGTGTCAGCTTGGTTTGGTGTATTTGATAATGGTACGCTAGGGCTATGTGCTTAAAGGAAAGGATGTCTTCATGAAAAACGTTCTAAGAGAAACTGGCTCATTACACATAACGAAAAACACGAAAACGCCCATGCAGCCTGACATTTCTACCTGGAATCGAATCGAGGTAGGAACTATCAGTGTTCAGCAAGTGACTGAGGGGTTAACTTCAGTCACTTGTGGGCTTCAACGTGTATCAGATTTAAATTGATGTAAACTTCTCTTCCCTTTAAAATTTAATCATGAACTAATGATGCTCCTCTCGAACACCACGAAAGCTTCATGCATGGACTAAAGATTAGAAATTTCATCACTCATCTATATTTACGCCAAATTGTTGCAGCGAAAGTTTACCTTTTGTTGTCTGATAACGGTGAATTTCTAAATTATTTTAATAATGAGGTTTTATTAGCGAGATGAATAGACATTTTGTATTTTCATTTATATGGGGAAAAGCTTAGGTGACTTTATTGTTAATAGTACTTTAAACGAATAAACATTTAAATTTTTCAAAACAGTCAAAAAATAGAAATAAAAATTTTTATTTACCCAGAGGAAGTCAAATGATAAATGAAAATAAATTAAATGTAAAAAAAATAATGGTAAGTGAATTATGAGAATTTGCTGTCTGTACTCATATAAGGTTTCTTCGTCAGATGCCCTGGAGGAAACGGGAATCAAGGATTTCATGCAGAATTTGGAGTATCTTGGGGGTTGGCCTATGGTAAATGGAGCCAATTGGACTCCTGACACTGTTGACTGGATTGAAGTTCTTATCAGGATCCGAAATCTAGGCAACAATCACAACATTTTGATGAAGTTATCTGTTACAATTGACCCTGATAATAGCACAGCCCACATCATACAAGTGAGTAAGCATAAATTATAAGGAAATATAAGCGGAAAAAAATAAACTTAAAGCTTTCAGATTTTACATTGCGCCCAAAGGGGTGTCTTTTGAATGTTTTGTGCCCCGCCTTTATTTATTAAATATCGTGTTCTTATCACTTAAACCATTAAAATTCAATTCAACAACAATATCGCAAAATAATTTTAAAGGCACCATATCTTTAGAATTTCCAGTTTTATCACCATATTTTTAGAATGCACAGTCTCGCACCCTGGCGATAAAAAGTTTTTTTTTCGTACAGTGTTGCCATTGCTCGCTTTGAAACTGTTGAGTTTCTAAATCGAAAATTCGTTAAAGTGTTACGAAATATGAAATCAGTAATAGAACGAATTTAAAATTCCAAATTCGGGCTTCTAGATGCCCATATTCCGTGGAAGATTATGTTATTCCAAATTTGATGTCTCTAGCTACCGTTGTTTTATCAATTTGCGAGAAACATACATACATTCATGCAGATTTTTCATTATTTAATTTCTTTAAATATAATGCGGGACTCTAATATTTGGAGGCAACAATTTAAAACGTGAACCGACATTTATAGCGAAGGAACGCAAAATGCCAAAACGAAATTAATAGCCCTTCCGGGTTAACGCTCTTTGGGCTAAAAAAGAGAATAAAGTGACTGTTTCATGTCTCCCGTTTCACTGTTTCAATTGACAAAATTTAACTTGCATTTTTTTTATGTCTCGAAAGCGCAATTTAGGATATGTACGAGTATTAGATTTACCTACAGCACTGTTTTAACATAGGTATTTCGACATAAAACCGGAATTTTTCTGAAATGAAAAATCTATGTTTTTCAACATTTCGAATTTAGAGGCTTTAAATTATCCCGAAATATTAAATTTTGTGAAATTTGGTGAAAAACTTACGAAGAAATTTTAAAATTCGTCCCGGCACACTTTTTTCAGTTTGCGCCAACATAATTCACTTGACGAAATTCTTAATTTATGGTAACCAATTTTCCTTTCCCTTTTATTGCGCACGAGGGGAACAAAACGCACATCGTTCATTCTTTCAACTAATTTTAACTAAGTGCCTAAACCGTAATCGGCATAATTACCGCTTATAACAAATATGCCGAATTTCAGAATGTGCCAATATATAAATTCACATGTATCTTAAAAAATTCTAGTTTTTTGCAGGTTTCCCTAGAAATACATCTACTTTAACTGTTTGAAATCCAGAACCTTCGCTAACTTATGTACTCAAAATACCGAAACGCCCGAAATACTTTTCCAGTTTCACAGCAATTTCCTCCCCTCCCCGCACATTAACGCAGAAAATAAGTGTGAAGATTTCCAATGACATCCTTTGTACTTTCTAACAAAGCTTCCATTAGCCTTTGACCCCGTTCTTTATAAAACTATTCTGAAGGTCAGACAACAAGCTTTGCTATGATCACAACTGAGATTTTGTTTATTTCCGTTATTTTTATAGGAAGGAATAAATTGTTTAAAAATAAGTATAATCCTTAAATTTTTAAATTGCTCTTTTATTGCTGTTTAAAGCTTAAAAGCACACTGTACCACAAAAGAATAACAACGAAATGTAATGATCAACCAAAAGATAAGAAATTTCTTAGGTCAAACGGTCTGCAGTAAACTGATACAATGCATTTGGGGAAATTGCACCTGCTACTTCATATCTTACGGGGAGGGAAGAAAACAAGATTACAATCTCGGCCGTTTTCGGGCGGTTCTGGTTGTTTCAATGTAGGGCCGTGAGGGACGGATTGGTTGTGAAGGAGTTAAGGCGATTGCCAACATTTTGTGGGTTATAATTCAAAAAAATTTTGAAAAATTTATAAAAATTACTGAAAAATATAAATTTTAAAAACAAATCAGAATATAGCTGCGAATTTTATTTGGATTGAATCTAAATTTCAAGATGGGAAAGAAAGAATCAAGCAAGTTTAATGAAAAAAAGAGATATTAATAAATATATACCAAATTCAATTAACATTGCGAAACTAAAATTTTGAGAGCCAGTTTTTAAAAACTAGTTAATCGATTTTTACAAAACCTGGCACTTAATTATAATTTGAGGCGTAGAATCAAAATATGAAAAAAACTAAGAATTCGGAAAAATTTTGATTTTGTGTTATTATATCGATATTAGAACAAAACTTATTAGAAATATAAATGTAATATATGTTCTAAGCCGCCCTTCCGAGACACGAAAAGCGCAAGTTAAATTTCAGCAATCGGCCCAGCAGAACGGGAAATAGAGAACAGTCCCCCCCTTTTTTTGTGTGTCTGCGAAATAATACATTTGTTAAGTTCAAAGAATAATTTGCTGTAAATCAGTACATTCCTTTTAAATTGCGAGGTTAGAAACAACTCTAGTGACCCTTCTCCAGTGGCAAAATCTATAAAATTTGAACGAAAATTAGTAAAGATGTGCCAGATAATAAACAAATCAAATTAAAAACACATCTAAGTTCTACTTGTTATATAATCTTTCAGAAAGTTATCGCAGAGATATTTAAGCATAAAATCTGAATTAGATCTGTATGTACACCTTGCACAGAAAAAAAAATGGGACAGTTCTATATCTCCTGTTCTACTGAACCGATTGTCGAAATTTAACTTGCGTTTCCCATGTCTTGAAAGCGCGACTTAGGATATATATTATTCTAAGATTATTTTAACAGAAAATCGAACTTTTTCTGAAATAACATACCAATGTTTTTCCATATTTCGATTCTACGAGTCAAATTATGCCTAAATATTAAATTTGGTAATTTTTGGTGAGAGATTTATGGAAAATTTTTAAAAAATTATCTTGGGGGATTTTTTTCAGTTTGCGCCAAGAATAATTCACTTGGTGAACTTAATAATTTATAGCAACCTATTTTCCTTTCCATTTTTTCACTGCACACGAGCCGAAAAAAGGTCATCGTTCATTACTTTCAAATAATTTTAACAAAGTGGGTAAACCACATTTGGCGTTATTATCGCTTATAACAAATATGAAAGATTTCAGAACGCGCCAATATGTAAATTCACTTTTATCTTCGGAAATTTTGAATAAAAAACTCTGTTTTGCAGGTACGTTTAGAAATACATCTACTTTAAGATGATGGAAAAAATTTTATAGGTTATAATTCAAAACGTTTTTCGAAAAAATTATAAAAATTATTTTAAAGTACAAATTTGTAAAGTAAATCATAAAAAGTGCGCGAATTTTATTTGGAATGAACCTAAATTTGGAAATATGAAAGGAAGAATGAAATAAGTTTAATAAAAAAGAGATATTAATAAGTGTATCTGAAATTTAGTTAACGTGGAAGAGCTGAAATTTTGAGAGCTAATTTTTTAAAAGCTACTCGTGCGATTTTTACAAAAACTTGGCACTTTGGCATGATTTGTGTCGTAGAATCGTAAAATGGAAAAAAAATTGTATGCTATTTCAGAAAAAGCCCGATTTTGTGTGAAAAAGGTACCTTAGAACAATGCTATACATAAATCTAATCAGGATTCTTAAGATCGTTTCATGATTATAATTTCTTTCTTTAATAGCGTGTAACATTTAAAGATATTTCAATTCATATTCTAGACAAGATTTGTGTTTGCTCCGCAATGCTCGAATACAGCTCAAGCAGATATTTAAAAGCTTTTAATTTGCTTTCGCAATATTCTTATGAAAGGTGATTTGGTGTTAATAATAGGCAAGTGAGATAAGTGACATCAATAAAAAATCAAATCCAAAAAAAAAAAAAAAAAAAAAAACTGAAAGGCTTCAGATTTTAAATTAGTCCAAAGGGGCGTTTTTTAACGTTTTGTGTGTTACCTTTATTTATTAAATATCGCGTTCTTTGCACTTAAACCATAACATTCAGTCCAATAGCAATGTCGCAAAATAATTTGAAAATGAGCCTATCTTTAGAAATTTCGATACACAGTTCCACGAGCTGGAGATAAAAATGTTATTCCCCCCCCCTTCCGTAGAGTGCTGCCATTGCTCGCTTTGAAATCCTTGAGTTTGTTAATCAAAAATTCGTTAAAGATTTACAAAATATGAAATCGATAATAAAACAAATTCCAAATTTCAAATTTGGTCTTCCACGTGCCCATATTCGTAGGAAATGATTACGTCATTCAAAATTCGACGGCTCTATGTACCGTTGTTTTATCACAATGCGAGAAAGATACATACGTTTATGCAGATTGATCAATATTTAATTTCTTCAAATATAATACAGGGATAGTATTTGGTGGCAAGGATCTGAAAAGTGATACAGCCTTTTAAAGTTTTCAACACAAAATCGCAAGGCGAAAACAATAATCCTACAGGGACAAAGCCCCTTTGGATAGAAAAGAAGGGTAAACAAGTAAAATAATAAAAACCATAGAAATACTAATGAAGCTTGAAATCAAGAATAAGAAACATGGATAACCAATAATAGCTACTGATTGTGACCAGAGCATATTTTTCATTTTCACTTTCTTCTATGCTTGCTATCGTAAACATTTACTGTTTTTAATAAATTGTGCTTCAAACTGTACATGTACGTCTGCAAAAAGCTCCGGCGACTTGAAACGCCCATTACTGGCTGTCTGTGATTTTTGCCTTTCGATTCACGCCTTATTAATACATTAGTACATTTAGTAATTTTCACGCATTTTTTATAAATACTATTGTGTTTTATGATGGATTTTATCAAAATTGAAATGCGTCCACAAAACTTATCTATTGTTATAGAATAGACACTTCAAGGCTATTTCATGCTCTCTGGCTTACATCGTAACCATGGTAACAACTGCTGCGAAAAAATGATTGAATCCCTTAATAGGATTTATGCGCTGATGACGATGCACCTCACAACTGTAAATGAAGGAAGTATGGCGCGACTTTGAAGGGTTTATTTTAACTTAACAAATTATTTAACTTAACAGTAAAGGCTGGAAATACTAATAATTCAGCGTTTGGAAATGGTATATATTTTGCCTCTTATTAATAAATGATAAGTACCTCAAGAATGTATTTCCTGTTCAAACCAGAATTTTAGAAATAGAAATTTAAAAAACAGAAATACAAGATTTTAGAATATAGAATTTCAGAAATAGAAGAATTTAGAAACAGAAGTTTTAAAACTTAGCACTAAAAGGTTGTAAAATGTTTTTAGTTACCAAATTTATATTATTATATTTTTTGCAGTTGGGAAAGCCATCGTTTGCCATACTTGGTAAATATTTGCTGCGAAACTTAACTGACAGTGTCATAAACACATATCTCACATCGATGACAATAATTGCGGAGGTACTGGGATCAGAACTTTTGCCCGTTGAACAAACTTACAGAGCAATTAAGTTCGAAATGGAGCTTGCTAAAGTAAGTACTGCAGTTTCTTCGCTTTCCTCTTAATACGTGGTAAGTTCTGAGACAGGGCAGACAATATGTGCTAAACTATTATTTGTTAGACGTATAAATTTGAGCGCTTTTGTACCCGCAGACGAAATCTGTGGCAATAATTGACATTTATATATTGTAGAATCAATTTTAAAGAAAGAAAAATGGAGCTGATCCTAGAGTATTGTTGAATGATTTATAAAGTGGACCTAAATCAAGAAGAATGATTTCAATGTTCTATAATTAATCAGAGAGTTAACAAAATTTCATAGAAGTCGAAATTATCCCCTGGATGAAGAACATACGGGAAGCGTAATGGCAAACCGCACATTGAGTTGATCAATGTTAAACGAATTTCGTTTACTGCGCATGCTCAGGATAGAAGTTGGCACAATTACAACTGTGGCTCAATTTTAAAAGAAGATAAATACGGTATACGATTGATATTGTGTTATCTGAGCGTAAAAACATTTCGGGCTTTTAAAACTTGTCAGGTTGTAAGTTGCTTTCATTACTTAAAGTGTAACTATCGATTGTAAACTACGCAAATTTTGGTTTAAGAAGGGTTACGAAGCAGGAAAATCATTACAAGCTATATTAGCTGAATGCTCATTAATTATACTTCTCAGAAATAAAAGCAATTGAGTAATTTACCATACGTTCCATTCATATTTTAGCAAATTAAAGAATAAATCTAGTTTAAATTACTGAATTAAAGTCAAATAAGTAGGCTTTATTGGAATAATCAATCCATATATAAAACAGCTCAAGCATGTGGTATGACGCCTGCTACGCATTCAAACTGACCCTATTTCCAAATAACCGATATTAAATGTAATGTTTATGAACAAAATAGACCAAAATGAAATGAAACAGAAGCACATGCAATAAGCACAAACAAATTTCCGTAGTATTCCAATTGTAAAACAGTACAACCAACATGACTAACAGGCTTTTTGTAGGGTTGCTTATGCCCCCTTAGTCTCCAGTATTTCCTCCCACGCCAACGGTACACGGTGAGCATGCGCAGTAAGCGGAATTCGTTAATATTGATGAACTCAATGTGCGATTTGCCATTAAGCACACGAGAATACCTTTGTCAGCTGTAGTTTTAGAAAATGTGTCGGCCGTAAGAAAAAATGTTAATCAATGATAAACGCTACACCTACCAAATGATACAGGTACAGGTTGAAAGAATGCCGGCATTTGTGCTCTCCCGAATTATGTAATAGGTTTCTCCTAGCTTGTTATCTGTTAAGCTTCTCGCTAAATTTTGAGAGGAAAAAAAACCTGTTTATTCCACTGGTAGGACAGGTTGCCAACCTCTGATCATACAGCTAACATGTTCAATCAGTAGTTGATTCCCATAAATAGAAAACTTTTGGCAAGATCTAAAACTGCAGGAAAAGCTGGCATAAGAATCGCCTATGGATGTGTCCAACAACTAATATTACACAGTAAGTATATATGCATAGATCAAGACATAAAACTATTCTAACAAGTAACAATGAATGTGCATACAAGCAAAATAAAATAGAAGAGAATAATACAAAATGTACAATAAATAAATATGTTTGAACAGTAGGGCCCGAACCAACTAACGTAACTGAAGTGAGCGGAAAATTAATTGTGCAATGCAGAATAGTAAGTAGTGTTAATAGGGAGATAAGATTCCGAGGGGGCTAGCAGTCCTATAGTCTCCAATTTCTTCTCCTACCACGAATCACTCGATAGATCTTCCTTTCTGCACAGACACCATGTTGTTACGGACATCCATACCTTCCCCAGTATCCGAGTCGGGGCCCAAGTGTACGGCAGACAGCGTCACTATACCGTTTGAGTGGCTTCCAAATGATACAAAAGAAACTTAACATTCAATCCTCAATGTCGCAATGTTTTATGTCTTTGTTGCTTGATTTCTAAATTAATTCGATCCTCAGTTATACTTAAAAAAATAATGTATAGGTCTTTGAGGATGACAACGGTTGAAAAACAACGTTCCAAGTTACGCTGATTAGCCACGATTATCGTACAGATGGTACGACTTGTTCCCGGCTTGTTTGAGATAGTGCTGCAAGGCGCATGATCGACATTCAGTGTTTCTTGAACCATCATTCTCTAGGTGAAAAACAACGAGCAATGAAAAAAGTAATGAATGCAATTTTCTTCAGACACACAGTACTGGCCAAAGCCATGAAAGTAGAAGGGCAGAAGACATAGCTATCTGCTACATCACTTTTGTAGGCGAATGTTTCAAAAATTGTCTTCCAGATATGGGACTTATGGCTTCACTGTCATAATGCCTCTTCTCCTTCAGAAAGATTGACAGTTAAATTTCATCAATAAAAAGACATCGAAGTGACAGAATATCCATTGTATTCTCCTGGTATCGCTCTGCGTGACGTTTGGCTATTTTTAAATCTGAAGCAAAATTTATGAGGCTGTCTATTCCACTCCGAAGATGAGACCGATGGGAGACTGGAAAATGATATTTTTTATTGCTTCCAAGAAATGGATGTCTTAAAGCATTTAATTTTTGAAACATTCGCCTACAAAAGTGAATTGATAGTGGATAGAACTATTTTGAATGCTCCTGATATCTGGTAAGTTTAACTTTTACGACTAGTCTGCAACCGAAACATTTCAGATTGACCCTTGTATGCCTTTTAGGTAGAATAATTGGTCTTCTGGTTCTTAATTGTTTTCCCGATCATTATATGCCCGATTATTACTGCATGAGGTTTACTATTTATCTTTTCATATCATTGTAAATTTCATGATAACTTCCATCGACTCGGTTTAAATTCTAATTAACTTAAGTACCTGAAATTGAATTGAACGCAGTTGATAATTCATTGTAACGTACTGTATATACATTAGACAGTTTTTTTCATGTATATTGAATTCTAGTGTAGGTATGAAAATGCATTCGACACTGAGCATACGTTACATATATCCTGCTATGTTGCAGTTTTAAATATCTGAAAGCATTTTTAAGAAACATTTGATAACTCATTTAAAGTGCTATGCCTTTAAAGATTCATAATGTGTTTAGTTCAGAAATTCAACAGAATTGCACATGTAGCTTAAAACAACATTTTTATCCCACAAATAATGCATGGAAGTTATAACGAAAGTGATTTTAATTTGAGGATTTATTAGCTTTTTTTTTAAATATGATTTAATAAGGTAAATTCTGAACATTATACAGGTCTATTTTGTATCAACATCTCTAAAACAACTAATTAGTACATCAGATTCAAATTAATATATTCGCTACCAATCGGTTCATGCATGAGCTATATGGAGTCCTTAAAACAGAACAACGACCCATACACTGTAAAAAAAAATCTGTAAAGTTACTAAGAAAAGTCGTGGAAACTGGGATGCCATGGATTATTTGAGTAATCAAAACAGGAATTTTCTTAGTAACTTTACAGAGATTATACCTGTAATGGTTACAGATGTTTGGCATGTAATGTTACAGGAAGTTATTCTGTAGGCATAACAAAGTTTTTGTATGTTGTTTACCGAAGCATATGCCTGTAAAGGTTACAGATCTTTGATCTGTAATGTTACAGGAAATTATCGTGTAAGTATAACATGTTTTTCATATGTGATTTACCAATGTAAACATCTGTAAAGATTACAGGAAATAATAGTGTAAGTAGATCGTAATTTTTGAATGTGAATTACTAAAGGGAATATTTGTAGATTACTAGTGTTCTGCTTGTAAGGTTATTGCAAGTGATTATGTAAGAACATGTATTTTCATGTGAAATTTTAAAGGATATATATGTAAAAGTTGCAGATAATTTACTTAAAAGTTCTTCCAAATAATTATGCATATAGAACATATTTGTCTTATACAAAATACAAAAATGATGTATTCCTAAATATTAAATATTTTGATTGTAATATTACTATAAATAATTACACATGTAGAACATATGTTTTATGTGAAATGTCTACAGCTACTGCTTGTAACAAAATATGCTGCATTTATTTATTTGTGGGGAAAGGGAAGTTATGTAACTTTAAATATTAAGTTTTTTTTTTTTTTAAGGAAAAATACCTTAGATTTTCTAAAAGATATACAACATTTTCTTTCAAAATATTTCCAATGTTAAAAAGAAGCTCAAATTTTATGTTTTTCTTACATCTGCATTACTTTCCTTTATTGAATTTTAAGACATCTCAAAGTTACATATGCATCACGAAATAGCTGGAAAAAAAACTTGTGTATTAGACTTAATGGTTTTTTGGCAATAAATTAGTAATGTTCTAGAATTCCCCCGCTGAACACTGGTAGTTCGGTCCGAGGTTCAAATCCCGCGAATGGGCTGGTTGTATGGGTATTTTCATGGTTTTCTCCATGTGTAACATGTATATAAGTCAGTTTCCCTTCGAAAGTCCTCCACAAAGGCATTTCTCCACTTAGGCAGATAGTCCTAGTGTGCTTTGCCATACTTAAGTAAACTAAACCAAATCATTCTCCTTATACCCAACAGTGTAATCTAAAGAGACTGCAATTGGATATGATTACAGTAAAAAAATATTTTAATGAAATTGTTTCAATAAACAATTCTAAATATTTTTTCAAATTCTAAAAAAAATTACTTATGTAACTCAACAATGAACTTAAATTCAGTTATCACAAGTTATCCAAAATTATTTTCATGCTTAATTGCATTATTCATTTTAATTACAACATATAATTCTTTTAGGCATAAATGCTTTTTAATCTCTTCTGCTACTGACCATTAATTGAAATAATAGATTAATTAATCGGACAGTTGTACAGGTATTTTCCCAGATTTAAAACTTTATTAATAAATTACATTCTTCTCATTGAATACAAAATTGAAGAATTAGTTAGTCCTAAATTTAATTTTTCAAGTATTCCTTCTACTAAAACATTTATTGCCTACAGGCAGCCAGACAGTAAGCTGAACACTAGCATTTGGCTCTAGATTTAAATC